AGTCTGCAGAGCAATGCAGAACAGGGAAGAACAAGCGCAGAGTGGAGGCACTTGTCTTTAACCTCAGTACTTGGTAGGTAGAGGCAGGAGGATCTTGTGAGTTCCAGGCCAACTAAACTGGTCTACACAGCGAGTTCTGAGCAGCCAGGGCTACATAGAGTGACACTGTTTTAAAAAAATAAAATAAAATAAAATAAAAAAGCCAGGAGTCCAGTCAGAGAGAGAAGAGGGATTCCATAAGCAAGTCCATCATGATCATGATGGGAAAACCTGCAGAGATGACCAAATCAAAACTAGTGGGAGCTCATGAACGTTGGATCAATGGCTGTGGAGCCTGCATGGGACCGGACTAGGCCCTCTGCATGGTGAGACAGTTGTGTAGCTTGATCTGCTGAAGGGCCCCCTGGCGGTAGGATCAGAATCCACCCCTGGTGCATAAGGATTTTTTTGGAGCCCACTGCCTATGATGGGACACCTTGTGCAGCCTTGTGGGGGGAAGAGGGGATGGGTTGGGGGCACGGGAGGAGGGAAGAGGGGGATCTTTGATTGGTGTGTAAAATGAATGAAATAAATTTCTTAATTTAAAAAAGGGAAAAAATGGGGGAAGAACATGTTTTTAAATCATATATCCTTTTAAAGATTGTAATCAGGCTTTGTAGAGGACTCACACAACTTGACTAAAGAAACACTCCTAATGTCAATTAAGTAGTTATTACAGTCAGCATTACTGTATTTCCAGTTTAAAACTTTTGACTTTTCTGTATGATTAAAACAACAACAACAACAACAACAACAACAAATACATAGTTGCGGTGGCACATGTCTATAATCAGGAAACAGACAGGTAGTTTTGAGTTTCAAAGCCATATAAAATAAGATAAATAAATCTTTTAAAAATAAGTAATACCCACTAGCAAAATACAAAAACTGACTCAAGAAATAGAAATCAAAGAAAAACACATGACCTACGGCTATGGCACTCACTGGTAAGTTCTTTCAAACACATAAAGAATTAACATTAACCACAGCATCAATAATCTATCACTCATCATCAAAACACAGCAGGATGACAGACTCAGTCCATGAGGCTGGCATTATCCTGACAACAAAGAAAGCCAAGCCGTCACAAGACAACTACAGGCCACATGAATACAGACGCAAAGGCCTTCTTCAAAAGTCTAGTAAACTGAATCCCACGGCACAAGAAAAGGATCGCATAACGTAGCAAAATGGGAACTACACCAGGACTGGAAGTTCACTTCAACATGTGAGTCTCAATTAATGCAAACAATATTCATAGAAAGTGGGATGGTAGTGATGATCATTTCATCAGCTGCCAAATTTGACCAAAACCAAAACCTTTTTATAAGAAAAATAAAATACAGACGAGGAAAAGGGAACTTCTTCAATACAACAAATCACGAGAGAAAAGTCCACAGTTAACACATTCTCAATTGTCAAAGATTAAAAGTATTTCTCCTGCGAAAATAAACAAGAATACTTGCTTTTACCATTCAATAATCTACTAGAAGTTCTCGGTAAATCAATTAGAAAAATTAAAACCATCCAAACTGAAAACAAAGACTGTCTCTATTTGCAGATGAGAGGAAATTCTACATGTTCTACAAAAAAATTAAGAATTAAATAATCCCAACACCCGGGAGGCAGAGTCAGGCAGATCTCTGTGAGTTCAAGACCAGTCAAGTCTACAGAGTGAGTTCCAGCACAGACAGGGATACACAGTGAAACTCTAGCTCAGGAAAAAAAAAAAAAAAAGGAAGGGAGGGAGGGAGGGGGAGAGAGAGAGAGAGAGAGAGAGAGAGAGAGAGGAGAGAGAGAGAGCGAGTGA